ATTTTATCTTGTTCTGGATGCTGGTTTTCACTTAGCATACTTGTCTTAAGGTTAAAATTGTGTCAATATTCCTGTTTATTGCAGAGTACTATATATGAATGTACCAGAGCTTGTTTAGTCATTCAGTCATTGAGGGATATTTGGGTAGCTTCCAGTTTGAGGTATTAAGAATAAAGGTACGGGCCCTCCCTGGTGCACAGCACACAACTAAGAAGCTAAAGCCACTTCAGCATGAGTTCGATCCCCGCCCTGGAGGTGACCACATGGCACAGCAGACCTCTCCTGACCCGCCTGCTGCTCGCTCCCCTCAGCAGTGTACTTTATCAGTCAGCCTGTTCTGCTCCCCGCTCTGTCTCTGGTGGATCCTCTCACCCCCCCTACACCTCTGGCCTATACCCCAGTTCTGTATGCATAAATAAATAAATCTTAAAAAAAATAAAGCTACTATGAACATTCATCTACATGTTCCTACATCAAAATAAGTTTTCATTTCTGAGATAACTGCACAACTGCTGGTCATATATTAAGTTCATTTTAGTTTTGAAACAAACTCCCTAGGGTGTCTAATTTACATTCCACCAGTAATAAGCGATCCAGTTTCTCTGCATACTTAAGAGCATTTAGTATTACCATTATTTTTCATTTTAACTGTTCTGATGGGTATGTAGTGGTATCTCATAGTAGTTTTAATTTGCATTTCTCTGATGGTTAATGATATAGAACATCTTTTCATGTTCACCATCTGTAAATCCTCTTAGTGAAATGTCTGCTTGTCTTTTGCTCATGTTCTAATTGGATTATATGTTTTGTCTTGTTTTAGATGCTAGTTTTGAGTTCTTTATATATTCTACATGTATCTCGCTGCTACCTTTAATCAGCTGCTGTAACATTTAATTTGGGGGACGAATGACATCATGAAAAGTCTCTATCTCATTGAAGCACAGTAATACTCCTCCCTCTTTAGGAAAACCATCTCTATCAATTCGAATCCAGCTGTCTTCAGAGAGGAAGACTCTGAGAGTCAGGTTCTAACTGTAGGCAAAACATTTTGACATTAGTAAGTTCCACACTATTCTTTAAGAGGTGGCATGTCAGTTCTTCATTCCTCTCTTTCTAGGGTCTTTGTTAACAAAGCCACAAAAAACACTGGTAATGTTAAGATGAAGGTTTTGTAGTTCTCCCCAACCCTCTCCTTTGTCCCCCTCATTCCTGATTTTTCTGCTTAGCACCATTTTAGCTTCCCCCTGCTATGGCAAGGGCACTTGTTGCCTCTGCAAGACGATGCAGCTCATTTCCTCAGATAAACTTATTCTGCTTCTGTGTCTAAATTTCAAGTTCCTGGGACTGGACTCTTGAATATTAGGTTCAACTGTGTACTTTCAGTGCAGTTGTAACCTGGGGAAGTGATGGAAACTTTCTGTTGTATTTAGTAAGCTAAGAATAGTTAATGTTGGCCCTCCCTGGTGGTGCAGTGGGTTAAAGACAGCTCTAAGAAGCTAAAGCCACTTCAACATGAGTTCGATCCCCATCTGCCCTGGAGGTGACCACATGGTGCGGCAGACCTCTCCTGACCCGCCCGCTGCTCCCCTCAGCAGTGTACT